ACATCCTGATCCCTCGCACTCACGCCGAGGCGGTCTCGGGACCCTGGGCTTCATACTGGATAGCAGCTGAGGAGGCAGAGATGGCATCTTATAGGTCCACAGGCACTTACATCGACGCAGTCCCACCACCTGGGACGAACGTCGTCAGTGGCCGATGGCTCTACAAGGTGAAGCGGCCGCCTGGATCACCACCCGTGTTCAAGGCGCGCTATGTGGCGAGAGGCTTCAGTCAGCGAGAGGGGGTGGACTTCTTCCAGACCTTCGCTCCCACCCCGAAGATGAGTACTCTTTGGGTGTTGCTGCATATTGGAGCCCAGCGCGACTACGAGTTGCACTCCTTGGACTTCTCCACCGCGTTCCTTCAGGGGAGCCTGCATGAGCAGATCTGGCTGCGTCGCCCGCCTGGCTTCACTGACTCTTTCCCACCTGGGACCCAGTGGCAGCTGCGTTGACCAGTCTACGACCTGCGTCAAGCTCCACGTGAGTGGCACGACATACTTCGCTCGACCCTTGCAGCGCTTGACATCTTTCCGTCGTCTGCTGACCCGTCACTGTTCGTTCGCCGTGGCTCGACCCCGTTCTTTGTCCTGGTCTACTTTGACGACCTGGTGTTCACCACTCCCGACCGACGTGCGCTGGCCTCCGTGAAGGAGGAACTGCAGAGGAGACACACTTGCACTGACCTTGGTGAGCTGCAGCACTACCTTGGCCTGCAGATCACCAGGGACAGGGCAGCTCGCACCATTACGCTGACTCACTCGCATATGGTCGAGCAGATCCTCACGCGGTTTCGCTTCCCGTTCTCCAAGGTACAGCTCACTCCTCTTGGTGTGGATCATGGGCTCACGGCTCCACCTTTGGACGAGTCATTTGAGTCCAGTGGTCCATATCCTGAGCTGGTGGGTTGTCTCATGTACCTGATGACATGTACTCGCCCAGACCTAGCTTACCCTCTTAGCGTACTTGCGCGCTTTGTTGCGCCTGGGAGACACCGACCGTCCCACTGGTACGCTGCTAAGAGGGTGGCAAATTATGTGGCGAGTACATCAGGCATGGGACTTGTCCTTGGAGGGAAGCAGCCATTTACACTTACAGGTTACTTGGACTCGTCGTGGGCCGACGACGCGGAGACGCATCGGTCTACACAGGGGTACTCCTTTAGCCCCGGGGCAGGTGCTGTTTCGTGGGGCGTCGTCCGTCGCCGGTTCCAGCTGTGAGGCAGAGGTGTACGCTGCAGCCATGGCCGCTCAGGAGCTTCGCTGGCTGTCTTTCCTTCTCACCGACCTTGGTGAGCGGCCTCGCTCTCCCTCAGTCTTGTTCGCCGACAACAGGTCTGCCGTCCTGTTGTGTGAGGAGCCTCGACTGGTTGGGAAAGCGAAGCACATCCAGCTTCGTTATGTCCTTCTGCGTGAGTTGCAGCAGCGTGGCCAGGCACTTGTACGACGTGTGGTCTCTGAGGCCAACACTGCAGATATCTTCACCAAGCCGTTGCCGCCTTGTTATCACCAGCGTTTCTGCACCCAGCTTGGCCTTGTGCGGGCCCGTCCTCACTTGCTTACGTAGATGCTTTGTCCTTATTGTCTTGTACTCTTGCATCTTAATATATTTGCTATATACCTGCATGTGAATTGGCCTTGTGGCTCTTTTGCTTGCTCTCAAACTGTGTGTGTCCTCGAGACCCACCCTGAGATATGTGTTGTCTTTCCACGGGGTTACCGTCACCTAGACTATGGGGGTGTGTCAACATATATTTTATATGTGTTGTTTAGGTTATTCTAGGTGTTACATTTCTACTTCCTTGCATGATTAGGGTTTGCTATATCTAGGGTTGTACTTCACATTTTCTATCAATTCATTCTTATCGTAACAATTACAAACCGCGCAGACTTTTACACATGGAGCTTTGAATTAGAAGTATTCTTACAAATCGCGCAGATCTACTACTACTAGAGGCCTGGAGGTACCTCACGAAGATGAACCAGCCGAAGGATTCGGTCACATCTAGCAGGCTCTTGCAGCAACTCATGGAGATGAATATGGGGCATGGGAAAACGCAAATTCATTCATTCATTGTTGTCGTAGCATTCGCGATCAAATCGCGAAGCACAGAAGCACCATGTCCGAAGAAATATCCTTCAACATAGTGCTCCATGGACTCAGGCCAGAGTGGAGGCCCTAAAAGGCGCTACTCCGATAGCAAGGAGCAATTTCATAAGCTCCCCGCCCTTCTCGTCGAACAACAAGATATGGACTCAAACAACAAAACAAATTCCACGTCGAGACGAGAACGCCTCGCCTTCTACACGGACAACAGGGAACAGCGAAGACAACCGCAACGCCACTACTGCAAAAGTTGCAAGACCTTTGGGCACTCAACGAATTGATGCAGATCCTGATCCAACACACCCCACCCCAACTCCAATCACCACAATGATTGGGTCGGCCAACAAGACGCACGCCAGCCTCAACAAACTCCATGTCCGCCGGCACAGCAACCGCCACAAACATCACATGCGGGAGGAACAACAAATATTATTAGCAACATGGCAATGCATCGCACAAGGGGGGAACGTCATGCACGGTCACCAACACTTGACCCAAAGAAAGTCGTCGGCGAGCCAATACAGTCTGAAGAGGACAACAACCCTATTACCGCCCACCACGACTACATTGACGATGCGGCTTGCACCATCCTTTGTGTCTTCCTTGGTTTCCCAGTCAACTCTCCTAACTTTGCGTTTTACCATCCACCCCTCCACCATTTCCTCGACTCCCGTGACGAGCGGTTTGATGACTCAGTGTCTTAGTATGCTCGCTACCCCTATCCAAATCTCCCGGCCCCCCCTCCTCCCCTTTTCCTCGCACCCTCTCCTCCTCCAGCTCCCGCTCCTCCGGAACCCCCACCCCCCTGTGGTCCTGCCCGTCAAGTGTGTCTCGCGCTACCCCTCTACCATCGGCCGCCCGCCAGGTAGCGTCTCCCTCCCCGCAGTCCTCTTCTCAGTCCCTTTAGCAGCCTTCGGCACTTCCGCGATAGGTTATTGTGTGTTAGAAGGAAATGCTGCCATTGTCAACGGGAGTTGTGTGTTGGCCCCGTCCACGCTTGGGCGGAGCCGACTTCGTGGTGGGGTGTACGGAAGGTACAGCCGACTTGCAGCAGTGGGCGACGCCGACTTGGGCGAGCTGGTCGACGGGGTTGGTCGACTTGCACGGGGCCACTGCAATGCCGCCGACTTGGGAAGCCGGCGGCCGACTTCAAGTGGTGGTCGGCGATGTGGCACGTCGACCTGGAAGTCGGCGCCGACTTGCCAGGTCACTGACTTGCTTGGTCACCGACTTGCAAGGTCACCGACTTGCCAGGTCACCGACTTGCCATGTCACCGACTTGCAAGGTCATCGACTTGCAAGGTCACCGACTTGCAAGGTTGCCGACATGGAGAGGTCAGTCTGGAAGTCGGCGCCGATGTAGAAGGGGCGTCGACTTGGCGACGCCGACTTTGGGTAGCCGACTTGGGTGGTCGGCTGACAACTGCACTAGTCGACCAGGAGTGACGTCGACCTGGAGCTGGTCGACCAGAGGAGTGGTCGACCTGGTGAGGTCGACTTGGTGTGGTCGTCGACTTGGGAGGTTGACGAGCACATACAGGAGCAGCTGGTCGACATGGTTGCCCAGTCGACCAGGATACCTGGGTGTAAGGTTCTGCGAAGGAGTGCGACGGTCGCCCAGGCAACGTTGGCGAGTCCGACCTCGGTGGTGGTATCCCGAGGTCGACGTGGCGGATCAGGTGGAGCCGTCAGCACGAAGATGACTTGGTGCGTGCGCTGTTCAGGTGACAAGGCTTAGCCCTCCAATCATCAACGAGCACCTGCAAAGTAGGTGCGCTACTGTTCTACGGGAGCAACGCTGGCACGCCGTCAACCTGCAGCGTTGGCACGTTGTCGACTTTGCACTGCTGGAGCGCGGTCGACCAAGTCGTGTTGGAACGCGGTCGACCATGCTGTGCTGGCAGTCGACCGACCTGAATGTTAGCTCTGATGTAGTCTTGCCATGCCAACTTGATTGTACCATTGTTGTCAACTTTCTCTAGTGAAACTCTTGCCAAATTGCTCCGTGAACTTGCAAGCAGTGTGAGCACTAGGAAAACGACTAAGAACCAACGAACGCAGAGATCACACGATCATCCGTGCCTAGCCCGTAGTCTAGCTCCCGTTGTAGTAGTTATCTCCGCAGCCATGAGCAACAAAATGTCTGCGCTGGGATTCGAACTCGTGACCTTCAAACCCTGGTTATGGTGCACACAAGTGTCCCGAAAGTGTCTTGTCAGGACAGATTGGGGACAGTTTGGGGATGGATTGGGGACAGTTTGGCGAAATCGATCTCGGGTCGCGTTCGGTTTGAAACTCGGCAGCGAAGTGTCGAAGTCAACGGAATTTGCACGGGGGTTATAGTCGGTGGTCGACGGAATTCTTGTCGCGGGAATTCATGTCTACGGAATTCCAGTCAATGGAATTCGCTCGGCGAAATTCAAGGCTCCGAATTTTGCGTTGACGAAATTCAACGTGCGACCCGAGTCGACACTTTCTTGTGTGCTTTTATTTTGTATTGCGTCCTAGTATAAAACCAGAGAGCACAAACAAAAAATCAACCAAGTCATTATCACTGCTATGTTTGTGTGTATCTCTGGCTATAGTGGACCGTTTCCTGCAATCTTTGGTGCGTTGGAATCGTGCTTCTGAGCTCTATCAAGCTGCTATAGTAGTGGAACTCTACATGGTATCAGAGCTGCGTTATCTGTGTCGATCCAACTAGCGGCTTGATTTCGTCCTCCCTCACTTCGTCCCCTTGTTGGTGTGGCCGACGCTCGTTTTGACCGCGGATGGAGTGGTAAACGAGCGCCGAGGGCCTGAATGCTCGTCAGGAGCTGGAGGCGTCTGTTTGTGAGCACCACCCTAACTTGCGTGATGAGGAGGTCGACCTCATTGTGGACGGTCGTCTACTACACATGGTTCGGGAGCGCGCAGCGGAGCAAGCACCTTCGAGCGGCCAGCAAGGAGGAAGTGGTGTAGGAGGAGCTGTGCACGAAGCTCCAACTGCCGTGGGCATTGGCGGAGGAGCTGTTGCACTGAACGTTGACGTGGGATTGATCGGGACGAGCTACGGTCAATTCAAGTTTGGAGTTGAACACATCTCCGTGACGCCGCTGCTGGAGGGAAGGCACGACCTTACCGCGTGGGTCAGCACCATCCGAACTCAGCTCCAGTGTGCTGATTTGTGGCAGTTTTGCAACGGGACAGCACCAAGCCCTGCCCCGAACAACCCCTTGCAACGAAGGGAGTACGCAAAGGGCCAAATGCTTGCATTCATGGTGCTAAACCGATGTGTTTCTCCACCCATCCGAATGTCCATCTCTGGTTTCTCTCAGCAAGAGAAAGCCGGGCAGCTAGCGTGGGCATATATCTTGTCTACTTATCAAGTTCGTGAACTCTCACGTGCTCTCACGCGAACTCTTACGCGAACTCTCACGCGCTCTCTGACACTCTCTGACGTGCTCTCTCATGCGCACACTCAAGCGCTCTCACTCGCTCACTCACGCGCTCTCTCACGCGCTCTCTCATGCGCTCTCTCACGCGCGCTCTCACGCGCTCCCTCACGTGCACTCTCACGTGCACACTCACGCACACTCACGTGCACTCTCACGTCCTCTCTCCTGCACTCTCTAACGCACTCTCGGACACGCTCTCTCACGCTCTCTCAAGTGCTCTCTCAAGCGCACTCTCACGCGCTCCCTCACGCGCACTCTCTCGCGCATTCTCTCTATCACGCACTCTCTCACGCGCTCTCTCGCGCACTCTCTCACACGCTCTCTCGTGCACTCTCTCATGCGCTCTCTCGCTCGCACTCTCACTCGCCCTCTCACGCGCTCTCTCACGCGCACTCTCACGCGCACTCTCATGTGCTCTTTCACATGCTCTCTCACGCAATCTCTCATGCGCTCTCTCACAAGCTCTCTCATGCAATCTCTCATGCGCTCTCTCACGGGCTCTCACGCATTCCGTCGCACTCCCTCTTGCTCACTCTCTTGCGCATTCTCTCTCTCACGCGCTCTCTCATGCACACTCTCTCGCACACTCTCACGCGCTCTTTGATGCAATCTCTCACGCGCTCCTTCACGGCTCTCTCAAGCACTCTCTCACGCATTCTCTCACGCGCTCTCTGACACGCGCTCCCTCACGTGCACTCTCACGCACTCTCTCATGCACTCTCTCGCGCGCTCTCTCACGCGCTCTCTCACGGGCTCTCACACACTCCCTCACGTGCTCTCTCTCGCGCAGTCTCTTGCGCATTCCCTCTGTCACGCGCTCTTTCTCGCGCACTCCCACGCGCACTCCCACGCGCTCTCTCATGCGCTCTCTGACGTGCTCTCTCTCGTGCACTCTCACGCGCACTCGCTTCTCTCACACGCTCCCTCACACGCTCTCTCACGTGCACTCTCACGCGCTCTCTCACGCGCTCACGATCTCTCACTCGTGACAAGAAGTGAACGAGAGAATGTGTGAACTATGAACGAAGTGAGTACAAATAGGAAACCCTAGCTGGGTTGTACCCCCTATGGGATACCCCACTATAGCCTACACAAATAAGTAAGCTATAATGTTCTGACACACCCCCATAGGCAAAGTGGGGGAGAACAAGGGGTCACAAGACCAGTCAAGCAAAGCAAAACAAAGCTCAGGGTGGATCACAAAGTCACCACACATTCCGAGCACAAGTTCAAGGGCCACAAGGCCAGCTCACATGCAAGATCATATATATAGAGATATACAAGAGTCAAGCAAGCAAGAGCAAGACTATATATATGTGAACGTACAAGTAAGGTCAAGAAGTGAGCAAGTGAGGCAAGACAGACACAAGACCCAGCTGCGTGCAGCAACGCTGATGATCACAAGGCGCAAGTGCCTTGGTGAACACATCAGCAGTGTTGGCCTCAGAGGCCACGTACGCAAGTCGCAACTGTCCACGCTGCTGTAGCTCACGAGCAAGAAAGTAGCGGAGAGCAATGTGCTTTGTCCTGTGCTCCAGTCTCTGCTCTCGCATAAGGCCAGCATGGCCTTGTTGTCTACGTACAGGACTGGAGGAGAACGAGGCTGCTCTCCAAGGTCGGTCAGCAGGTAGGTGAGCCAGCGTAACTCCTGTGCAGCCATAGCCCCAACGTAGATCTCAGCCTCACAACTGGAGCCGAGAACAGAAGACGAGCGGGTAGCCCGCCACGAAACAGAGCCGGAAACAAGGCTGAAGGTGTAACCCTGTGACAACCGCTGCGTAGCCTGGTCGTCAGCCCAAGAAGCGTCTGCGTGCCCAGTGAGGACCACTGGACTGCGCCCTCCAAGCACTAGCCCCATGCCTGACGTACTGCACAAGTAGCGCAACACCCTCTTCGCTGCAGCCATGTGCTCTGGTCGGTGTCTCCCAGGAGCAACATAGCGTGCGAGAATGCTAAGAGGGTATGCAAGGTCAGGTCGTGTGCAGGTCATCAGGTACATGAGGCAGCCAACAAGCTCTGCATACGGGCCACTCGACTCTACGGACTCATCCGAAGGCAGAGCTGAGAGCGAGTGGCGAGTAGGCAGAGGAGTGGCCTGAGGCGAGGAGTACGTGAAGCCGAAGCGCTGAAGGACCTGCTGCACCATGTGTGACTGAGTCAGGGTAATGGTGCGGCGTGCTCTGTCCCGGGTGATCTGCAAGCCAAGGTAGCTGCGCAGTTCACCCAGGTCAGTGCACGGGTGTCTCTTCTGCAGCTCGGACTTCACGTAGGCGAGTCCAGCAGTGTCAGCTGTGGCAAAGACCAAGTCGTCGACGTACACGAGGATGTAGAACGGCGGCAGAGAGGTGTCGGTGCGCAGAAACAGCGACGGGTCGGCAGTAGAGGGAGCAAACCAAAGTGCCGCGAGCGTAGTCCTCAGTGTGTCGTGCCACTCACGTGGCGCCTGGCGGAGACCGTAGACTGGACGCCGGAGACTCCACTGGGTACCAGGAGGGAAAGACCCAGTGAAGCCAAGTGGGCGGCGCAGCCAGATCTCCTCGTGCAGACTGCCCTGCAAGAAAGCTGTGCTGAAGTCGAGAGAGTGCAGCTCGTAGTCACGGTGAGCAGCAACGTGCAGCAGAACCCGAAGAGTGGTCATCTTCGGGGTGGGGGAGAAGGTCTGAAAGTACTCAACCCCCTGCCGCTGACTGAAGCCACGAGCCACGTAACGCGCCTTGAAGACAGGCGGAGAACCCGGCGGCCGCTTCACCCTGAAAATCCACATGCCACTGACGATGTTCGCCCCAGGAGGGGGGACAGCGTCGACGTAGGTGCCTGTGGACTTCCAGGAAGCCATCTCTGCGTCCATAGCTGCCTGCCACTGAGAGGAGTAGGGACCCTCTATCGCCTCCGCGTAAGAGCGCGGAGTCGGGATGTCTGGTGCATCCGAGTCTCCCTCAGGGGCTAGTAGTACAGACGCGAGATGGGGTGAAGCGGCGGCCAGACACTGGAACTCCTCCTGCCTGTCCTCAAGGACGTCCGTGCCGAGGGCACACTCACCCCCGACGGACGGAGGACAGGCAGACTCAGACTCAGCGACAAGACTGGCAGCGTAGTCTAGACGACAGCGCGCAGCAAAGTCGACAAGCTCAGTGACAAGGGCAGACGCAGCAGACGACTCGAAGGAAGGGTCAGTGACAGCAGTAGCAAGGAGACGCGTGACAGTAGGACTGGCAGCATGAAGAGAGTCCGACTCCGGGTCGGCAAGAGCAGGAAGAGAGGAAGCAGGAGGAGAAGGCAAAGGGGCACGCAGAGGAGCAGTGGACGGACGCAGAGACATCCGGTGCGTGCCAGGGACAGGAGGAGGACGCTGACGCGACCCGCGACCACTAGCGCGCTCTGGACGAACAGGCGACGCAGGACGAGACGCAGGCTCACGACGCTCAGTAAGACCTCCAGTCGGACCAGTGTAGGGAGAAGGAGCAGGCAAAGGGGAGGCAGGCTGTAGCTGTGGCTGTGACCGGACAGACTGCGGACCCTCTAAGGGAGGAGGAGAAAGTGGAAGACCAAGAACCCGCTGCAGGAGCGGAACGAAGTACGGTCGGGGCCGCGCGGCGACTCCAGAAACAGCAGGAACAGCACCAGCACCCTCGGCAGGAGCACCCACTCCAGTAGCACCTCCAGCAGCACCACCAGAAGCTCCAGAACCTCCAGCAGCAGCACCAGGAGCACTGTCAGTCGGACCGCCAGCAGCAGGCTCAGCGCCAACACCCTCAGCAGCACCAGCTACAGGAGAACTCGCAGACCCAACAGCTCCAGCTCCCACAGGACGAGCACCGCCGGGACGCGCGGCAGCAGTGCCCTGTGCAGCCGAAGAACCACCAGCACTAGCAGCAAGCCTCCAGCGCCTGGCAAACCACTCACGCAGCTCCTGTGGGGAGAGTGGCTCCCGGCGAGACGAAGCACCCCCAGGCTCAGCACCCCCAGGCTCAGCACCCCTAGGCACAGTAGTCCCAGGCACAGCACCCCCAGGCACAGCACCTCCAGGCTCAGCACCCCCAGGCTCAGCACCCTCAGGCTCAGCACCCCCAGACTCAGCACCCCCAGACTCCGCACCCCCAGACTCCGCACCCCCAGGCTCAGCACCCCCAGACTCCGCACCCCCAGGCTCAGCACCCCCAGACTCCGCACCCCCAGGCTCAGCTCCCGCAGCAGCACCAGAGTCACCAGTAACCTCGACAGGCTCGACCGTGTCTACCTGGGACACACCTGACGGGGCAGGACCCTGAGGGGGGAGGGGGACTACCGGGGGGGGACCTGGTACCAAGAAGAGCGGGGGTGGGGGGAGGGACGGAGTGCGGTAGGGGAAGAGGCGGTAGTAGGGTACCGACTCGTCGAACGTGACGTCCTGGGAGGACAGAACACGTCGAGAGGAGGGGTGGTAGAACTGCCACCCAGGGGCGTCGGGGGGGAACCCTAGGAAGACGCAGGGAGCAGCGCGAGGGGACAGCTTGTCCGCAGACAAGTCGCGGACAAACGCCCGAGATCCCCAGACCCGGAACGCCGACGCATCGCCAACCTTCCCCGTCCACAGCAGGGCTGGGGAGGTCTCCGGCCTGGAGACCCTGGGGTGGAGGTTGATTTGATGCGCTGCGTACCTGACCGCAAACGGCCACAGAAAATGGGGGGCAGCCGCATGCATCATGGACGTACGGGCGACGTCCATGACCATGCCAATGCGGCGCTCAGCAATCCCATTTTGCTGTGGGGAGTCCGGAAGCGTGAAGGACTGGCGGATGCCTCGCGCCCGACAGTAGGCACGAAGAAGGCCAGAGGAGAACTCTCCGCCTCTGTCAGAGTGCAGACGCAACACAGGAAAGTCGGAGCCAAAGCTCTGCCTGAGCTGAAGACGAGCTGCGCGGATCCAGTCGATCAGCACCTCAGTAACCTCACCCTTGCTGCGCAAGGGGAAGACTGTGGTGTAACGCGAGTAGTCGTCAACAACGAGTAGGAAGTAGCGCTCCTGACCCTGTCCAAGGACGCGGGCTGGGCCCCACACGTCCATGTGAAGTGTCTGCAGCGGGGCCTCTGTCGGAGGAAACTGGGAGGAGTGAGGGGCAGCACGCTGGCGCCCCTCGACTTAGGGGACACAGGCAGGGCCAGGGCCCTGAGGAAGGGGAGGTAGAGACCGGGGGAGACCAGACACAAGAAGACGGGAGGCCATGCCTCTGAGCCGAAGCAGAGAGGGGTGGCCAAGGCGGTGGTGCCAGAGGAGGGTCTCGTGAGACAGACGACGACACGAACAGGGGGAAGACTCAGGACCAGACCTAGACGCTGCGGCAAACACCTGACCAGACGAAGGGACCCTACCAGACTCAGTACCTGGAGGAGAAGCAGTGGTCAGTGTGTACAGGCTCGACCCTGGCCGACGTGTAAACGTAGCCAGGTGGCGTCCCGTGCTAGCCTCCGTGCAGTGGGTCACCCGCTGACGAGCAGGAGTGAACTGGTGGACACCCGCATCCTGTAGGTCAGCACCACTCACCAGGTTCGTCGAGAACGAGGGGAGGTAGAGACCAGACAGGGTGCCAGAGGGGGCCGCCGGACACGGAAGTACCGTGGAGAAGCGAGACAGGACAGGCCCCCCAGAGGGGTCAGCCAGGGACACCGCAACCGGCCGACTCAGCGGCGTGAGAGTGGTGCGGTCCCGAAAGAAGGAGCGAGACGCTCCAGAGTCAAGTGTGAAGGTGTGAGAGGCCGAAGCCGACACAGTACCTGAGAGGGCAGACTCACCAGTACCTGAGAGCTCAGACGCACTGGCACCTAGAGCAGCAGCCTCACTAGTACCTGACGCAGCAGTACCAATGCCCGGGTCGGGCGGGAAACACCGGTAACAGTCATCCTCATCACTACCAGTCACAACATACATAGCAGAAAGAATAGCATCAAAGTCAAGATCATAAATGGCTACACCAGCCCTAGACAGCTCCCCCCAGCGGGGGATCTCAGCGGC